TAGCCATTCAGGACGATATAATTTGTCCACCCAGCCTGGAACAAGATGACTGGCCCAAATTTTTTTTCCATCTAGGACAAAGAACAAGTAAACAGAGGAAGTTAGTGAGATACCATGAGGGAAAGTACAACAGAACTATGTCCAGACTATTAAGCCTGGGCATAGTTCAAACTGGAAAATCCTCATCCAAAATTTTTTCAAAGAAGACTCTCTTGAGGAAAACAAAGTTCTAATAACTAAGAGTTTACATCTTAGAGAAAGACCCTGCACTTTTCTAATGTTTGATAAACAAACAAATGAAAAACCATGTGCTGTTGCTTTCCTCTCCCTTCAGCCTTCTCTGTCTCCGTGAGGGACACACCTGGACACCTTTCCTAGGCCCCAGCCCTAGGCTTCCCGTTTCCTGAAAGGACCAACAAACAAGCAGCTTTTCTCACTGGCTGCTGCAATTAATTATTTCTTTATTTATTTGACCCATTTATAACCTGTCCTTACGCAGAACAGGTCTCAAGATGACTCACAAACAGCAACAGCACAAATTAAATACAATATAAAAATATATAGAAAAATTCCTGTTATAAAACTGCATCAAACTCCCAAATACTGGGTAAAGAAAAGGTTTTGGCCTGGTGCCAAAAGGAACAAAGCATCAGTGCCAGGCAAATCTCTCTGGAGAGACACTTCCAAAGCCAGGGTGCCACCACAGAAAAGGCCCTGCTCAGTCACTCCTCTCACCTCCTTCAGAGAGGCCTCCTGAAGATGGACCTCAGCAGAATTGCTGAAGGCTCGAGCATGTGTATAGGGAGGGAGATTCTCCTTCAGATATCCAGGCCCTAAACTGTTTAGGGCTTTATATGTCAAAGTTAGCACCTTAAATTGGGCCCAGACTTCGACTGGCAGCCAGTGCAGATGGTACAAGACCGGTGTCACATGATTGTCTCAGAGCAGGCGAGTTCAAAGCCGCCTGCCATCTTCGTTCCCCACGAGGACCTCTGGGCTACATGGTGGGGCCCAGAGACTCTGAGTGGGTCACAAGCATGCTAAGCAGGCACAGCTGGACGCCTCAGGGGCTTAGCGTGTTGTCCAAAATGGGCACCCACCGCCATGCTCGGGCATCTTGTGGGGAGAGAGGAATACTCCTCTGGGACCTGTGCCAAGTACTGCTGGGTTTGGCCACCTACCACTCACCCTGACCAGTAGCTTCCTAGAGCCCCCTGGATCCAACCCCAGTAAGAAGCCCTGTTTTACTCAAACGGGAACACTGGGCGGCTTGGATGGGGGGAAACCGGGGACCTCACAGCTTCCCCCATTAGGATCAGGGGAGAGGGCTTGGCAGCCAGCCCCCTTTTTGTAAAAATCACAACCACTGGAGGGTCAAGAACGGCTGGCAATTGTAGCTGGCTGGGGGGCTCAGTGTTCCTGCTTGGTCCCCTGGGATACCTGCTGGGGAACTGAGGGCAGAGGTGGGGAGGGGGCAGTGAGAGGCCTCCATCTGCCTGTTGGCCTGTCAGGCCTACTGAAGGGGCTGCTTGCCGTGGCTTGCTGAGCCCGAGGCTTGGAGTGCTGTGCCAATGCTCCCCTTCGTGGGAAACGGAAGTGGCTCTGGCCAATGGCCTCCTCTGCATCGTGCCCACCCACCACAAACACCAGGCAGGGAGCAGAAGGAAGGGCCACCAGTCCTCCTGCCTGGGAAGCCAGAGGAAAAACTGCAGACAGCCAGCTGGGAGACCAGGGAGGCCAGCAGCCTGGCAGCACGAGCCAGAGCCAGATGGGCACGCACACGTTCATGTGTGCGTGTGTTGTGGAGAGCCACCTTAACACCAGCAGGAGTAAAGGAAGCTCTTGCTTGTGTGTGGCAGAGAAGACAGGACACAGGGGTGAGCCTGAAGACACAAGTGTGATCCAACCCGGTCTTTTTGGACCAGCGCATGCAGGGATGGCACAACATGGAAAAGTCAGCGGTGGAAAAAAGCACCCGAAGAGAGTTTGCTGGGCATGTGCAAGCAAAGGAGCCTTTACAGTGTATTCAGACACCAGGAAAATGGATGCACAGGTAGGCTGTACAAGAAGCTTTATAACCAACCAGTTACATACAGTTTGGAGGAGGGTTGGGATCAGGTGGGGGATGACATAGGTGGAGGCAGTTTGCTAATGGCACATGGATAAGACACTGGGGATGAACACAATATAGAAGAGAAGAGCCTTCAGGAAAGGCAGGCATGCCCACGCCTAAGGTGCCCTGGGAAGCAAGACTTGCAACACGGATTCCTGAAGATCAGGAACCCCGACTTACGCCTAAAAGCTGTTCTTACAGTGTCAGGCCTTCAGGAAGACACTTAATGGCAAAGGTTTTGCTCATTTTGCCCTGACAGATGAAAGTTCTCCCCGTAGGTCTTTGTTATCTTCCCTCCACCCAAATGGGCAGTCAGCTTCCCTCATGTTCAAAGGTGCATTCCAGGTTCTGCTGTTCTGTTTTAACCTGCTTTCTCATTGCTCAGGCCAAAAATGCCATTATTATTAGGTAATTACATATTAACTTAGCAGTGAACTCAGACAAGTGCAGACAAGACTGGAGAGAAGATGAAACCACGGAGGAAGAAGACAGAAGCACCAGCATTCTCAGGAAACTCAAGGTTTGGATCCATTTGTCTTGGAGGCAGGTGAAAGCAAAGTGAATCACCATCTGAAGACCCTAAATATAGGAGCCTGTATGCCCCATCATGCCTTCACCATATTGCCTTATTCACACCACCTGCTTTCAGAACGAAACAGAACAGTGTGGATTTTCCAGACCTCATAGTCAGCGTTTTAGGCATTCAGTGTGAAGAAAAGTACATCTGAGAGGTGTACCCTAAACTTAGTGTACAGTGCTTTGCCTTTGGTGCATTCAGCTCCCAATAAGCAAACACAAAGTTGCCAAGCATAGCCCTACCTGCCCATCAGAAAAAGATCCAATATCAATAGTTGAGGAGGACATGTTGTCCTGCCTGCCTCCATTCCTGGAGTCAGGCCCATTCTGCAAGCAAAGTCCTCACACCTGGTGCCAAGCAGAATGTGGTGCCCCCAGAAGAAAGCTGGGGGAACTTAAGCAGCCCTGATACCCAGGACACATGCACTACAAAGACCATTGTGAACGGGGTGCTCTTGTGATGCAGCTGTTCTCCTGCCCAGAGCAGGGCACTGTTGTGGATGGGCTGCAGGTGGGGAGCGGGGGCTCAGCCAGCATCCACATGTGCATGAGGACTGCACTGGGCGGGAAGAGCACCTCTGGGCTACGTAAGCCTTCTCAAGCCTCTTCCCAGCTTCAGCACCTAAACAAGCTCCCCTAGCGGCCAGGGTCGCCTGGTCACCTTTGGTGCTGAGCAGCAGCTGTTTGTTGTTACTCTGTTGGTCCAGTGGGATGGATGCTTTGCCCATGCTGCACTGACTGCTGCAGAGGGAGGGATATTCAGAGCGGTTTCCCTTAAAACCATAATGGTAGGATGTGCGCAAAATCAGTCAGGGATGAGAGTGGATGAGTCCCCCTGCAGCAATATGGCTACGGGTGATTTGGGAGGCTGGCCTCCATGCCTGTGGGAACTGTGAGGAGCATGCAGACTGCCTTTGGGGATAGCCTGCCTTGCCTGCCAGGCTTCTGGGGCCAATGGGGGAATGAGGCGGGGCGGCCCATGCGCACTCCCAGAAAAGCTCTGGCTTGGTGGAGGAATGACAGGCACCCACTCCCAAAGCAGGCCAGCCTCACCCAGAGCTTGCAGGCTGGTTGCCTGGCACACAGTCTGTCCATAGAATCCTGCACCACCACCTCCCCTAATATACACATTTTTGAAAGCGTATTTCCC